AACTTGCTTCATGGGATCTCCAATCATACAAGTTGGGTTCCCATCCTCATTTGTTTCAAAGTGACACTAGTCCCATTTCCTTCGATGTTTCTGTTATCATTTTTCGTCCTAGGGATTCTGTCAAAGGAGTAGCTAATTCCTTCTGACTTCACAAAATTAATGGAAATAATTACATTCTCAAACATCATTGCACCACTTTTAAGGGTGAATGGATATCCACTATTTTAATTTATCTCATTTGAGTATACTTAGATGTCGTCGTTGTATCACGGCAATACAACGGATAACTTTCAATAAAATATAACATCGATGTCACCCTCTAGTACACCGGCTAATTCTCAATAAAATATATACCATCATTGTATCATTATAGTACAATGGATAATTCTCATATAACATCATTGTACCGCTCTAGGACAATGGATATTTCTCAATAAAACGTATCATCGTTGTATCAATAGATTACAACGGATAATCTCAAAAAAAAATATCATAATTAATGGTACCTCTCAAATATCTCAATTACCGCCTCAACGCAGTCCAATGATCCCTACTTGGTTCATGAGTATATCGGCTCAATCTTCCGACAACACAAACTATGTCGGGCCTAGTATAATTTATAAACTGTAATAAACATCCAATAATTTGAGAATACTCATATTGAGCCTCACGATCACCTCTATTTTTTTAAGTGCATATGAAAGTCATAAGGGATACTCACGGGTGTGACACTAAAATATCCAAACCTCTTTAGAAGTCTATCAGCATAATGCTCTTGAGATAGTACAACATCATCATCCTTCCTTGTGACTTTCATATATACCCAAAATCATTTTTGTTAACCCCAAGTCTTTCAAACAAAAATTAACAAATCATCCACATACAAGCAAATAATAATGCACACACCATTTTCACATTTAGTGTATTCACACTTATATCTACTTCTCATAAGCGAATAACATTTCATCAAAATTTTCACATTTGTGTTCCTAATCAGTGACTACATGACCTTCCGGTTGCACCATATAAATTTCTTCCTCTAGCTCACCATTTAAAAAAGCAGTTTTAATATCCATTTGATGAATAAAAAGTTTGTGAATAAGTCAAAAGTTCATCATTAATAAGATTAATAAGGTATGAATAAAAATCATTTCCAAAGGATTTCTCTATCCTTGGCCTCTTACTTCTTCTCAAAGGAGAAGGTTCATCATTAAAAGAATAATTCTCTATTAATGGATCACTATCAGTAGAGGGTTCATCATTAAAGGTTTTATTTCCTTGTAATGGATCACAATCACTACATGGCGCAACGGTCTTATGTTCAATTTTCAAAGGAAACGCATTCTCAAAAAATTCAGCATTTTTTTTGTTTCAAAAGCGTATAAACAAATAATCATACATGCATCATTTAGTGTGTACACATTCTCCAAAAACGGTCACATTAATAACATCAATAATATAGCATAAAGCATTGCACATTAGGGTGTTCTTTGGCTTCCTCTTCTTTTTCTCCATCCTCCGAAGATACTTCTCCATCCTCTCTTGGTTGTTGTTTCTTCTTTGGCTTCCTCTTCTTTTTCTTTAGGCGAGCTGCCTAAAGAAAAGGGTGTTCTTCCTTTGGGATATAAGTAGTGTCTAAGGCCGCGGCATTAGGCTTGGTAGCCGCGGCATTAGGCTTGGTAGCCGCGGCATTAGGCTTGTTAGCCCCGGTGTTGGATGTCTCTCCATGTAATGCCACGACATTAGTCCCCGGAGTTATGCCCTTGCCTTTATCTTCTTTGCTTTGATCCTCGTTGCCTTGCTCTTGTCTCTTCTTCTCTTCCCTTTCTTTTTTCTCCATCTCGGCTATGGCTTTGCAAGTGAATGCATGGTGTCCATAAGCCTTACAATGGAAACAATAGTTCGGGAATGTTTCATAGATTAGCTTTTGGAAATGAAATCTACCATTGGGCAGCCGCACCTTTAGTGTAAGGGGAGGGGGTTTTGAGGCATCCACCTCAATCAAAACCCTTGCATACCGAGATATAGCCCTCTCTTGTGTCACTCTATTCGTTGTAAGAGGCATTCCCACCCTTGATGCTATCTCACTAATGACATCTTCATTCCAAATTTGCATAGGTAGGTTAGGAAATTTCACCCAAATTGGCACTTTGAGGAATTCCTCACTTTCAAAGGAAAAGTCCTCTGAAAGAGTTTTGAGGTATATCGACTTGCCGAATAAGGAGTATGGCCCTTCCATTAGGACCTTGGATCTGTCTTCTTCCCCTTGAAACTTGAAAATCACCCACCCTCTATCATGGGTCCTCACTTTGCATGGCACGTCCCATTTGGAGACTAATTCTTGAATTGGTTTGAAACCGGGGTATCTCCCCGCAAAGTACCCCACTAGACAATGTCCCCAAATCTCCTCTATTGATGGCATGATCCTTTGATGTAAGTCCACGTATTCCCCAACTGGTTCAATGAACCTTAATTTCATTCCTTTTGAAGGTTCCCTGTTATCCTTGAAAAGAGATGCAAATGGTTTGACAATAGGGGTTTCGGTTTGCTTCCATGGTAAAGGTCTACCCAATGCAGCAACATAGGAGTCATTAACATTACCCCCCACCTGAGTTTGAGGTTCAGTTATTGCCAAAATATCATTCAAAGAAGCATCATTAATTCCCCCATCCGAACCTTTTTCCACTAGACCAATGTCATTGTCATTTTGCTCCATGATTTTTTCCACATTTGTAACCTCTTTTAGAGGGGGTAAGGAAGTTACCTCAGGTTCCGGTTCAGGAGGTTGTGGTGCAAATTCGGGTTGAGGTCTAGAAGAGCCTTCGGAATCACTAGCATAAGAGTGCACATCCAAGTCGGAGTCACTCAATTGGTCCATTGCCGAGATAGCATCCTCCAAATCCTTTGTTTTTGTCTTGGCTTTTAACCTTGAAGAGAACTTCGTGGGATACATTTCACATAGAAATTAGGTGGTGGTGATTTCACGTGTTCAAGTGCCCAGAGGGCATGTTTTCATTAATGAATGCAGTGGCTCCTAAGAATGTAGTAAATAAGGCCGAGTGAAAAAGCTTGATTTTCAACTCAGAACTATTCGACAAACTAAAGTCCCCTTTTTGTTTGAGTTGTTCATTGTGCTTTATCTGCAGAAGGATAGCTAGGGGCTTTAAAAACATTGACTATGATTCTATGAAGAGCAATTTAAGAGTTATGACTATGAAGAGCATATAAATTTGTGGAGCCAACTTTGCTATTCTAATTTGCCCCATTTTTGATAGAAAAATTCTCTGCATCTAATAACTTTCTTTATCCCATTATATGATTTGTTTAACACTTTCAGACGTCAGATCAAGATGATTTGGTACTTCTAAACTGGCTTGCATCTTCTCAAGCCGCTGAAGATATAAACTCAGATGATGACCTTGCTCGTGAAACCATTTTGAGTCCCTTAATGCCTGCAACAACCATAGATAAGGTATTAGAGAAAGCTCATGTGGCTTATGAGAATGAATCCCAACAAGAGTGTAAGGACATTCTTGATACTCTACTGGATATAGGTAACGTTAAAGGCTTAGGTGGGACATCGGCTTGTTTGATCAGTTCTAATTATTCATGCAAGGCTTCTTCAAGCAGAATAATACCTCAAGTGGATGAGTCATCAGGTTGTTTTGATCCTGTTTCATGTGCTAAATATTTTTGGTTCTTCCCATTAGAACCAAAATCTGATTGTCATAAAACCATGTTATTTGGGAAAATATTAGAGTTCTATACCGTCAGAGAATATTAGCCTACTGCGTATTTCGTATCATTATTGTATTTCTTTGATTTGTTACCCTATGATGATACTGCAATTTAACAGGCAAGTTTCGATATAAGAAGGAGATCGCAAGGCTCGGGAGTGTGGTGTCTTGTTTATAGAAACCAGTGCCAAGGCAGGATTTAATATCAAGGTACGTGGTAACTAATTAAGTGATGAATTATTTAGTAATTATAACTTTTATTTCTTGACGTCATGGCATATATGAACTGCATTTAGACTGTATTTGTTGATAGGACTTTCCTGGCAAACAATACATTATGGAAATAACGGCTTATTAACTTATTTTCTAGGATCAATCTTAGTAGTTAGTACTTAGTATGTTTTTAAGTAACATCATAGGTACTTTAATTATCTACTAATAATAATATTATTAATTGATTTCATTTGCAGGCAGTATGCATGCAGGAGGTAATTTCAATCGGAAGTGCTTGCATTTCTTTTATTAGGCAGAGAGGTGTGGGTGATGGCAGTAGTAATTGCATCGTCCCAGACTCCCAGTGTGTTGTTTCTCAAGCCTGTGTGGGCGCAGCAGAGTCAAAAATCAACATGGGTCAATTGGGCTTGAGGAACCATGTTGTGACTCACTAGAGCAGTGGTGACATGTGTGATGATTTATTGTAAAATTATTGGTTTTGATAAACTTAAGAAAGGATGATGATACCTATTGTATGTATTTTAAATTTTGGTGATGTATAATTTAATTATATTGGAGTTATGATTTTGATTTGTATGATGAGATACCGATATCATCAAAACGGATGTTTATATAAGTTTATAAGCATGACACGTTTTTTGGATCTATACACCATCATTTCGGGTAGTATAATATAAAAAAAATCATTTTTTAAAAATTGGCTATTTGGTGCGATTCAGAACCGCAACAATAAATCAAAACTCAATTTTTTAAAATTAGTTATTTGCTGCGGTTCGTAACCCGGCAATAAGTCAAAATCAATTTTTTAAAAAGTAGCTATATGTTGCGGTTCAGAACCGCAGCAAATACGTTTTCCTACTATTTGCTGTCCTCCCAATTGCTGTGGTTCAGAACCGCAGCAAATAGCCAAAAATAACCGCAACAAATAGCTATTTTTCTAGTAGTGTTGGTTGTCCTCAGATATGATATCATCATTGGACAATAAAGGGGCTATCATGGGATTAAAATACTTAAGAGTCCTGCTCTAGCCTCAAATTTATCATAGACAGAAGTGCTGGAGTTCATTTGATAAGGATTCAATACAATCAGATGAACATGACCCACGGCTACCGCCTCATTACAGGTGGCCATTGGGGTTTCATTCATAATCATGGTAGCACGTGCAGCATCCGTGGTAGCAGAAAGATGGCCAACATGAATGGTATCCGTTGTGGCATTGAATTCATTTGTACCAGAATCTTTTCTGGGAACAAGGGGTGCACCATTTGTATCATAACCAAAGGCAACTTCAGTGAAAATGGTGGGATCAGGCTGATAAATGGTAATCACGCCAGTAATACCATTGGTATTAATAGCTGCTACCTCACCAGAAATACAATGGCTATTGTTTCAAACCTCACAGACAGTTTGTCTACCAGATTCTACCATAGCAGAATCAACCTTAGCTACAGGAGAATCAAGTTCATGAATATCCACCATTGCTAACTGGACAGGGGCAACACAGACGTAAGCAGGAGTTTTCAGTAAATCCTCATTGGCTATAACATCAATAGCACTAACATAATTAGCATTAGCATCAATATTAGTAACATCAGCAAGGAATATAGGGGCAGAATTAGAACAAATTGTGGCTATGTTAACATCAATAGAAGTAATATCATTGACATTAACATCAAGCTCAGTAACATCGTAACCGCCTGGGGCTGGTGCAGTTACATCTTCCAAAACAGGGGCACTACATGTAGCATCCATAACCTGCGTTGTTTTTTGGAGAGTTCTGCACCATAGTAGTGGTTCCCTGGGACAAACCAAAGAACTGTGGCCAACTCAAGAGCATAAGGAACAAAACACTGGTAAATTTTCATAGACAATAGGCTAAAAAAACTTGTTTGACCATTTCCAATCCAGATGGAGGTCGTCGGTACTACTCCTCACCGGCGGCATCTCTGCCGCACAGGCTTCAGGACGACGGAAGAAAAAAGACCCGTAGGTTTAGAAAGAAGGCGGAGCATCTCGCTCACCCCTGGAAAACAATCTATAGGGGGCGGCCACTTCTGGATCGAAGATTTCTGCAGATGCACATAGGGGCTTGCAGTTTTTTGTAACCGGAAGACTTCTACGGATCGAAAATGGGCTATGCGAACCCTAGCTTATGAATTGGGGAGGAGAAGCTTATGAATCAGGGGAGGAGATAGGTAGATGTATAACGAGGAGAAAGAACGAGAGGTGGGAAGCAGACGACGACTATTAAACGAAGGCAACAGACGGAGGCCGAAAGTCCGCACTGTTCATACGGAAAATAGGCCATAGTAAGTCTCTTAGCTGCTTATAGTTTTTAGTAGATATGTGTATGCAGGTTTTGGTTCAAATAAGAACATGATCTTAGGAGAGAAATGAGAATGAATCTGGACCGTTAGATTTGCTTTAAGTGAAATTCAATGTGCATTAGATGAAACGGTAATGTGCATTAGGTGAAATTCAAACGTGCAGCACAAAGGGTAGAATACAATGACATTATGTGAAGTTGAGTTGTGCATTAGGTGAAATTAAAATGTGCACTTGGTGAAACTGAAATATGCAGAACAAAAGCTACGATGAGATGTTATTTTTGTATATTTCATGACGCACATTTCAGTTTCACCTAATGCACATTTGAGTTTAAATTTTTATTCTGCACATTTCAATATCATGTAATGCACATTTCAGTTCCACGAAATACACATTTTCGTTCCACATAATACAATCCAACGGTCCAGATTCATTCTTATTTCTCTCCTGGGAGTCTGTTCTTACCAGAACCACTCCCTATGTATGTGTGTATATATATATATATATATATATATATATATATATATATATATGTGTGTGTGTGTGTGTGTGTGTGTATAATCATTCTCTTGTCCAGCACTTTTCTGTCCGAACGCCGTCCGAATACCGCCGTTTGGGGAGGTTCCCGTCGGAACGTTTTGATGAAATGTTTTGAGAATGTTCCTCATCAAATCTAGATTATCCATACCAAATTGCAGCTCAAAATTCGATCGGGAAGGCTGTCAACTAATTCGTTGAAGTTAACTGCGTTTTTCTATGTATAATTTGGGGCAGTTAACTTCAACGAATTATTTGACTTCCTTCCTGATCGAATTTTGAGCTGAAATTTGGTATTGATTAACTAGACTTGATGAGGAACATGCTCAAAAAATTTCATCAAAAATTTTCACCTGAAACCACCCTAAACGACGGTGTTCGGACGGCGTTCGGACCAGGAGGTGCTGGACCTGAGAATCTCTCTCTCTCTCTCTCTATATATATATATATATATTGTATGTTTCTTCACTCTTCATCTTTATGATATAAATAAATAACTTAGACATGAAAAATAAAAATTTAGGATATATCATTTTAAGTTTTATACATTTCATGCATTCATTATGACAAAATTAGCTGATACGACATATTTGTACGTAGTATTTGTTATGTTTTGTACTCTACTTGTACGTAAAGATATTTGGCTATAACAATAACAAATTGCATTTATATTTTTCACATGATTCATTTGAATAAAATTGTGAATATTACAACATTTGTATCAATGGCTCATTTAGTTTTATTTTGAATATTTTATGTGATATTATAAATGCTAATCAACTATAAATTTATTTTTTATGAGAAGTAAATCTTTTTTCTAGTGATCGAAATGATGTTAGAAGTTTTAATTTATAATATTTTATTATTGCTTATCTATCTTTTCTTTCTTTTTACATTTTATTTAAATAATAAATAAAAGAAGATGAGCTGGACTACTACTTTCATCTTCTAATCCTAAAATATAGAACTTGATCAAATAAAATAATAAACATAAGAATCCAAATCAAATCGAACTAAGTTGTACCTAATAATTTTTTTCACTTTGGTAAAGCGAACTTCAAACCGAACCGAATCGAAACCAAACCGAAATTCAAATGGTTTTAGTTTGGTACAAATTCTCCCAAACCGAATAAACCGAAACCGAAGAAAACCGAACCGTAAACTGAATTGCCCACCCCTAATTTCAAACATGAAAAGTTGCCCATCTTTTTTTTTTCTGCGGGTTTATAGGCCATGCGGATAGGTTTTGCCCTTTGACATATGAGGGAGATAATAAGGTTCTGGAATATTCTTATGGGGTGGAACTTAGAGCAGGAGGAGGTGGAAGACTAGTCCTAAAAGGGGAAACAAGTGGTTAGTGGTAGAGGGACCCTCAAGCACATGTATGGGATTGAAGCCACAAAATGATTCCTAGAGCACGGATGTAGGAATGGGAGTAGGAAGACGGAACTGAATTGTTGCTACAACTTAACTAGGGAAGAGCACGGTGGGGAAGAGGGTTCAGGTAATAACGAGGAGGTGCCGGGTGACTAGAAACGCAGGAAACTATGAGAGAAACAGGAACATGAGGATCCAACTCATCCATGTGATGATAGCATGTCTCTAGACAAGCCAAAAAATGGGGAGGCGGGGGGTCCCAATCACCAGACCCGTCAGGATTTCTAAAGAAGACTCGTTATTGGAAGGTTCTTGTGCTCTCTAGGAAGGAGCATAAATTTAATTATGTTGTCTTTATATTTGCTTTTTATCTTGATCAGACTATTTTTATTTTCATGTTTTATTTCACTTTCTGTAAGAGTCTTACATTAGGATTGAGTGATGAAAGATCTGTTTTGACGTCTTTGACTCAGTTATGCTCATTTTAGAATCAACGAGTCATATTGCCTTTTTGAGGTGATTGACTCTAAACCCGATTCGAGAGCTGACGGTTGGTTGTAGTTCTTTTGTTTGTATGTTCCTTATCTAAATGTTGTTATATCAATTTAGGTCTCAAGTGTTCCCTCCCTAAAAAGAAAATGATTTAAAGTTATTGGCCCAAGTGTTTGGTCCGGTCCATTTAGAAGATCTGAAATAACCTAACCCAACTACCGGTATACCAATTCATCCGATCTACCATCTCTCTCTACCGTTCATCTCTCAGCCCCGTCCATCTCCTCTTCCCCTTAGGTCGGACGCAGTATACACCACGCCGTTCGTCTAGTATGCTGAGGTTAGTCGATTATTACTAACCTTCTTCTTATTTAATCGCATCTTGTTTTGTTTGTTCTGACATATCTTTTTATATCTTATCAGCAGTGAATCGATCAAGCATAGAGGGTGTTGTTGAGGTTCGTTCTTTATCTGTTCTTTCATTTTAACGATGAATAATTTTCTAAATTAAGGAGTTGCAATAAGCTTAATTAGAATTAAAATGGAAAGTACACGCTGGGTTACTGCGATTATCTTCTACATTGAGAAATCTTTATATATATTATGATTAATTAGGCAAAACAAAAACTTATGCAAAGATGCTGGATTGCTAATGTGAACAGTTTGAACATTTTTAGTTCAATTTATAGAATGACAGCTTCACCCCTCCATTCTCTGAGTAGAATTACTTAAAAAATATTTGAATTTGTAAATTGAAACCACTAGATTCCTATCATTTTTGCTAAGGTTGGAGTGTTGAACAATTTATTGGAACCTACAAAAGACTAAAATTAAAAGCAAATATGAGCATTTGACAGACACTTCAGCCATCAGAATATGATTTCATCCCTCCATTCTTTGCTATGCAGCCAACCCTTAAAAATGTTTGATTTTTTCTGGTCAGGAGCTGTTCTTTGATTTTGATTTAGTTGAAATCTGCGTTTTAGGACTAAGAAATAATGGAGAAAGAACTGATTGAGCTGTATGAAGTGGTCAGAAAGGCGGCAGATGCGGTCTCTGTTGAAGGAAAAGATGCAGAGGAAGAGAGGTGCCTTGATGCTATGAGGCAGCTGAAAAAGTTCCCTGTTAATTATAATGTCCTTGTCTCTTCTCAGGTATACAAAAAATGTTACCATTTTTTGCATGTCCTTTGATCATTTAGTATTACTAAACAATACTCTGTAAATGATATGTGCAGACATCAATACACATATGTGGGGAAATTTGTGTATTATATACAAGGGAGTCTTGTCGATTGAGGATCCTAACATAGGTTAGCTATCAGCTGGAAGATGAAAGCTATCCTTTTATGACCCAGAATGATTCAAACTATCAATCGAAGAGTAGAAAAAGAGAAATTTTTGAATCTTTTTTTACTCTTCAGGTTATATATATGCTCATCTTCAACAAATATTCCTTTTCGGGTTATATATGAAATTAATTCATGATTTTATTAAAAAATAAAATTAGTAAGGATAAAAAGTACTCCGTATAATTTTAGTCTTGGGTTGATGTTTTTCATTCAATGATGTAATTAATTTACTGTTTTATCGTCTGGCCCTGAATTGATGGAACAACTGTCATTCGAGTCCTGAACCAATAAAACTGGTATATACAAAGTACGGCTATATACTTGTTAGGGACCTACATAGAATAATAAGAAATCAGAAGAGTATTAGAATTAGTATAAATAGAGGTGGAGGGTAGAATAGAGAGGAGGCTGGAATTATCCTTTGGGCTTGGGAATTGGGACTTGGAACTATCTTGTATTTTCTCTTAATATTTTCTGTTATACGAAGCTTTCTATTGTTACGCACATATCTTCTCTTCATCGCTAGTTTCTTGAATCAAGGTGATTAGGTCTGTAACCTAACATTGGTATCAGAGCATCGTTCGTACACCTGATCATGGCCCTCAAAAGAGTAAAGAGTAAAGATTGGATATTGAATTTGGAGGAAATTGATTATGAGATGTGGGAACGTAGTTGGGAAAGCTGGGAATGCGAACCAGAGAGAAGACACACATATGGAGAAAAGAAGGAGAACACCTTTGGTTTGCGCGAGAACAGGGAAAAGCGCCTCTCTATTCAAGGCGGAAAGGAACCGCGCAGAAAATTGGAGAAGTTCACGGAAAAGGTTGAGCGCAAAAAAAAAGAGAAGCTTGCGGAAAAGGTGGAAAGTGACTGGGAGAAAGAGCGAAGAATCTGGTTGGACCAGTTACGCACCGTATTCGTAAACAACGTCGCATGCGAGGTCGATCGAGGACAGTTCGTCTAGGTCAGAATTCTGCAAGCAAGGTATTACCATCATCGCAAACCGCTCTTCAATTTTTGCAGACTTCAATACGTTCACAGAGCTCGTCACTACTTGATTCTCTGAGTTCGCAAGTTTCGTGTCAGGCGATAACAGTTGCTTCCAGTTCGCCGAGGTTAAACAATCATAACCAATGGTCATCGCAAGTTGATTCTCACCCTGCGCAAGACTTGTTTCTTGATCGCATATGTCATCGCAAGTCACTCCTCCCAGTGCGCTAGTGTCAACATGCCTACATGAATCATCCGTTTCAGAAACTATAACCACATCAGGAAAAGGATTTACAGGGACTATAATTCCGGAAATTAATACTGAGTTGCAGCAAGCGGCACCAACAGTTTTGGAAAATAGCGAAGTTGACATTCTTTACCATCAAGGAATAAATAGTTCAGCGCCCACTGATGTTGCCCGGATACTATGCTGTAATCCAGAGGAATTCAAATCTTGGACTGATATAAGTCTTGAACCTGGACTGGATATTCTAATGAATGTTGTGCACCATCAATTGGTAAAGAAAATTTTGGAAGGACCGAATAAATTTGATGACTTCAGATTTAATGGTGATATTTCTGAGAAGTATGTACAGAATGAGCTGGGGATAGGAATTACTGGGAATTGGAGGGAAAAGGTTGATTATGGTACTAATGATAATGCTGAAATGTTTGTAAGGATTGACAATGGTCTTATTCCTGGTCTAGTACCTGATGCATTATTCATGGATGAAAGTTTTAGGGAAATACCGATATATTATATACCTGTTCAAGATAGAAGTGTAGGTTTTGATTACAGGTTTCACATGACAAGTACTGGTCCAAGGCTCAAAATACTCGGGAAAAGAGATAAGGACTGGGATGATGACAGTGTGATGAACACAATTAATTTTAGGAGATGGATGGAGAATTCTGTTTCTGATGCTGACAGCCAGGACCAAATGATTGCGGGTAAAGATGTGGTAATATTCCAGGGTACTTTAGCAAGGCAATTGGGAAATAATGATCCACAGATTTGTGCATTTGAAGGATCAGTATTTACTCACTCCAACGTCAAATCTGGGATGGCAGTTAAGGGCTGCAGTTTGATGGCAAAGGATGAAGCTACTGGATATGATTTCATCATTCTTGATACTGAAGGAAAATGGAATGTCCGAGCCATGATGACTTCTCAAGAGTGTGGTGCAGAAAACCTCTATGAAGTACCTAGATCTGTAGGTATCCAATTCCAGGAGGAGTGGCAGCCAGTTTTTTCTACTATTATTGAGGAACTGCCCGATGAGAATGGTTCTGTAAGGGTTGTAGCACTTGGTGCTGGCAAGGTTGTAGTGAGGCATCATGAAAACATGCCCTTGCCTCAGCTTCTCACTATGGTAAAAGTGATGGAAATGTTTCAGTTTCATGAAGTTCAGGGTCCTGAAATTTGGAAGATATTGGGAAGGACGAGGCGCAAAGATGAGGAAGAAGCGGTTCGTCAGGACGGTCTCCTATGACCCACCTTGAGGACAAGGTGGTTGTCAAAGGGGGAGTAGTGTTAGGGACCTACATAGAATAATAAGAAATCAGAAGAGTATTAGAATTAGTATAAATAGAAGTGGAGGGTAGAATAGAGAGGAGGCTGGAATGATCCTTTGGGCTTGGGACTTGGGACTTGGAACTATCTTGTATTTTCTCTTTCTATTTTCTGTTATACGAAGCTTTCTATTGTTACGCACATATCTTCTCTTCATCGCTAGTTTCTTGAATCAAGGTGATTAGGTCTGTAACCTAACAATACTTAGGAAGGAATTTCATATTTTTTTAAAGAATGTTATTAATGCTTGATTCTTTTTTATTCTTTTTGGGATGTGGTGTGGTGTGGGGAGAAACGCCGGAACTATAAGTGATGGCATTTTGGTAATGTGACCATGCACTCTCTCTAGTATTTTCTGCACAAGGAATTTTCAAGAGCTACATGCTTGAAACTCGGATTTTTACCAACTCAATTGCATTTGTCTTGTTATTTACTGGATCCTCAATGTAAACGTACTTTTGGATTATGCCCCTGAGTGTGTCTGCTTAGAATGAACATTTTTATTAAAAAGCTATATACCTAGTAAAAAGGTTCAACTTTTACTGAAGAGTGAAGACATGATAATTTTTATAAAAATCCTGGATTTGTTTTACTTGGATATGCTTCATTGCGTAACAGCGTAAGGTACTATGGTTCAATGTCAAATACAGTTCCGTTATCTCAAGATATTACACTTTATTTCTGAAAGTAGAACCCTCTATAGTCTTAGAACCTTGTTAAAACTATATCAGGTATGGTTAATTAAATTTATAATCTTTAACTTGTTTGCAATTATTTGTAGAAAATTATAATATGAATCTATTTTTGTTTGGTGAAATATTACTTTTTTTTGACAAAATATATTTTAAAAGATGATTCTTTTCTTGGGTTGGTTAGATGTATTTCTAAATGTCTGAGTATTTCATGATATATGCATTTGCTTATGAAGCAAATTACTTACTCTCTACTTGTTTTGGCCCTTTTTTCATTTCTGTAAGACATACTCTGTGGCTCATGTACTCTTGTTGGTTTGTATTTTAGAAAAGTAAATAAATACCATATTAATTATGATTTCTATTATTATTGAAATGATTTCAGGTTGGCAAAAGTCTCAGGAAACTAACAAAACACCCAAGGGAGAGGATCAAGTCTTTTGCTGCTGATATAGTTGAGGTTTGGAAGCAAATAATAGTAAGAGAAACCATTAAAAACAAGAAATCTGAAAATTCTGTAAACGAGAAACCTGGACCTGCCATTGGCAGTCATGAAGAAGCTAATAACAAGAAATATCAACCAAAAATTACCAAACTCGATAAACCTGAACCTGCCATTGCCATGGCGAACTCTCCTGTGTCCGAGAAATTACCAAAAATCCCTCCTGCAAAACCTGAGAGGACAAATCTGTCACTCTCAAAAAAACCTGAAAACCCCGCCCCACCAAAACTCTCCGCCCTCATTTACACCAAAGATGCTGACAGGGACCAGTGGCGAGAAGCCATATCAAAGGCATTATGCAAAGTTGTTGAAGAGGTGGGCGATGATGCTGACATTATAGCTGAAGTCAAGACCTGCGATCCTTACAGAGTCGCTGTCCAGGTGGAGACTGCTCTATATGAGAAGTGGGGCAGTGCGAAGGGCTCTAACAGAATGAAGTACAGATCAATAAAGTTCAACATAACCGACGGAAATAACCCCGACTTCCGCCGGAAAGTCCTTCTTGGCATATTTCCACCTCACACAATTCCCGAACTGACTCCGGATGATATGGCGAGCGACGCAAGGAAGAAACAGAATGAGAAGATAAAGGAGAAGGCGCTGTTTAATAGCCAGAGAAGTGGGCCCTCTGTGGCGAGCACAAATGCTTTCAAGTGCGGGAAGTGTGGGAAGAGGGAGTGCAACTATTACCAGTTGCAAACAAGGAGTGCTGATGAACCGATGACTACTTTCGTCACATGTGCAAATTGTGATCATAGATGGAAGTTTTAAGAGGGAGTTTTTTTTAGTTGCGGGGCCAATTGTGACTGTTGGTTGCATTATGAGCTTTTGAAATAGGTCGGTACACTACCATCTCTTGATGCCTTTATTAGCTTCAGTTCTGATTTTTTTTTAATTGGCGATGTTTCATTGCCATATTATTGTTGAAACTTCATTGTTGTATTATTCGACATTCTTTTTACATCAATTGTAGTTTTACTATAGGTGTTTTTATTATATATATGTAGGTGTTGCTTGTATTTGACACAATATAAAACTACTGCAAACAAGTTATTTGATGGTATGGAAGATTCCTATGAAGGTATCTATGATTCTATGAATTCCTTTAGAGTTTTTTGCTTTGTTGGGAACGTTAGAACCGTGGACCCCATATTTTAGCCATGCATATTATCTGGATATGATCATATGAGTGGGAGGGGTTGTGACATTGTGTGAGTAATCTGTTTTAGGGATGGACTCGGGTCCGGGCCGGGTCCGGGTTGGGCCTAGGCCCGGACGGGCCAGCGGGTCAGAAATGGTGGACCCGGGACTGGCCCGGGTAACCACCGGGTCCGGTCCGGGGCCGGGCCGGGGCTGGGCCGGGCCAATTATATTTTTTTTTGTTTTCCTCTTCCTAATTAACCCCCCTCCCACCCCCAACCCCCCAAACCACCCCAAATGGCCCAAAATACCCAGCCCAACCCGAAAATTTAAAAAAATTGAAAAAAAAAATAGTTTTTGGCCCGAACTGGGCCCGGGCCCGGCCGGGTCGGGCCTTGTTTTGGGTGACCCGAGCCCGGACCGGAAAACCCACGGGCCGGGCCTACCCGGACCGGTCACTGACCGGGCCACCAGGTCGGGCCGGGCCGGAACAGTACCGGTCCCGGGCCGGGCCACCCGGCCCGAGTCCATCCCTAATTTGTTTATTGGCCAAATTATTTCTCCAATTCTACCGTTTCATGAAATTTCGCAGAATTGATTTCCCATTCCAATTTTTATTGTTGGAACTTGGAATGTAAATGAATTTGATAGAATCCATTTGGAAATTTGAATTATAGTTTTCCTAGGGATGGACCCTGGCCGGTCCGGTTCCGGGCCGGGCCCGGGCGGGCTTTTTTAGCAAAATGTTGGGCCCGGAACCGGCCCGCGTTGATACCGGGTCTGGGCCGGGCCCGGGTCCAGTTCAATGTTTTTTTGGTTTCTAATTAACATCCGACCCCCCCCCCCCCCTTCACCCCCACCCCCCAAACCCCCCCAAAACACCCAACCCTAACCTAGAAAAGCAAAAAATTGAAAAAACAAAAAAAATTGAACCCGGTCCGAACCGCCCGGGTCGGTTCACCAAAAGTTGGGTTCGAGCCCGGCCCGCCCGACCCGCCCAAACGGGCTAAAAGCCCGCAACAGGCCAACCGGTCCCGGTCCGGTCCGGGCCCAAACAGTAACGGCCGGTTCCGGGTCGGGCCGGCCCGGTTTAGTCCATCCCTAAGTTTTCCCTTCAATTAGAATTAGATTTAACCTGAACCAATATTGCTATTTGTACTCATTTTTATACCCACCAATGTGAGAAACTATTGAATCCCTTGCCTTGCACAGACAAAACAAAATATGTTCTGTTAGTGAATGAGATTAACAGACAAAAAAATAGTCTCTCACATTAGTGGATATAAAAGTGGTGGATATAAGATTGAGTATAAATACGTAGTACTCCCTCCGTTCCTAAATAAACTTCCAACTTTCCTTTTTCGTACGTTCCAATTAAAACTTCCACTTTCCCTTTTTGATAAAGAATTTGTGGTTCACAACATTTCTTACACATTTCTCTCTCCTCTGCATAACTCTCCACCACACAATATCCACTATCTTAAACTTTGTGCCAAACCCATTTGGAAGTTAAAATGGGAACGGAGGTAGTAGTATTTTTCTTTTTTGAAAGAGAAACCTTGCAAAGTTGCAAGTTAGAGACTGTTTTTGCAGGTAGTACTGTAAGAAATACATAAAAATCAAATTCCACATACCAAACAAAGTTTTATTCAATTGAATGGATTCCAATTTCCAAGGTTTATCTCGAATTATTCCACTTAGGGGTGGACCCGGTCGGCGGTCCTGGACCGGAACCGTACCTGCCATTGTGCGGGACCGGATTGGGTCTGGTTTTCCGGTCCCGGTCTTGGACTGGGTACACAAGCGGATAATTGCGGACTCGGTACCGGGTAGCAAATTTGGGGACCGGACCGGGCGGTCCCGGTTCTGGTCCCAACAGCTCAAATTTTTTTAAAAAATTATTTAGGAGGCTGGGGTGGGGCTGAGGTCAAACTAGCCGTTTGGAATGGCTAGTAACGACTATAAGGCCATTGGGGAGGGGTTTGGGGGTGGGGCCGTGGGTTGTTGGGGGTTATCAATTTTTTTCATATATATACCTAATCATTTTATACATTTTTTCACACTATTCTACTTCTACTCAAATTCTATACTCTCAATTCTCAAATTATCAATCACTAATTCTACTCTATTCACATTTACACTTTCATCTTTCATAATTGATATATTCATATTATTATAATTATATTTATATACTTATTAATTACTACACAATAATACTATGTAAATATTTATAATTTATATTTCTACATTTCTACTCATACTCTTTCAATCTTTCTTATTAAATATATTATATTACAATTAGATTTATATACTCCTACACTTTCATATTTAACACACACACACACACACACACACATACACACACACACACACACACACACACACACACACACACACATATATATATAGGCTAAGAACTGTGAAGTTTCACTAATAGACTAAAAACACGAACTTTTAACCAATAAATCATAACTTATAGACCCCGTCGAAAATAATTACGAAAATGCCACCGCAATAAAATAAGCCTGGAAACCTTGAATTTTTTTGGAGGCGGTGAAATTTTCGTAATTATGATCGAGGGCCTTATAAGTTATGATTTATTGGTTATAAGTTCCTATATTCAGTCTATAAATTTACTGAGTTGCAAGATCACATGCAAATCCAAGGGCTGAGATTACTTCTCACTTCTCATTTTAAGGAGCACTTCTCACCTGATCTTTTCTATATATATATATATAGGGTTGAGATCACATACAAACTAGTTCTCCCTTACAAACTACAAACTAATCTCATCCGTCCGTTATTAAGAAATAAAGAGCCATGATACGTAAAGTGTATTGTTGTGTGTGTGGTGACATACATGGAATAAAATAACCCAAATCCTATTAGCATCCAACGATTAATGAGAAGGTCACATGAGTAAATTCAATTTAAACTTATCAAGCCGTAAATTTAAAATTGGAAATATAATAATGTCTAAATCCCACCATTTATGCTAACTACCCACTAACTTTCCACTAAAATTTTTAACCGTTCAAATATATGAAGTTATATTAAGGAAAGTTGCATAGTCTCTACATTTTTTTACTTTTTTTTTTGAAAATCGAACATCATTGCACGATTTAAAGATCTTCTTATAACATTTTGATTATAATTTAAATTCGTAAGAAGCTCATACAGGTAGAAGTGTCTGCATATATACTTAGTTCATGTGATGTGCATATTAATGTTACATGATGTGCATATTAAGGTTAAGTGATGTGCATTATAAATTTAAAACGTCTCCATAACATATTAAAATTGCACAATGATAAAATATGTCAACGCTGCATTCTAGTAAGTCATATATGTTGCGTTTTATCATTATGATATCTGCATTTTATGTTCATATATTGCATTTTAGTAAGATGATATGCTCACTTTAGAAGTTCATACTGCATCTTATCCTTATGGCATCTGCCTTTAAGTAGTTCATATGTTGCATTTATTATTACGGAATGTGCATTTTAGAAGTTCATACACCACATGTTACTAAGATGGGATATGCATTTTAGAAGTTCATATCGTGCATCTTATTATTATGAGTTTGTATATTGCACTTAAATAAGATGATATGTGCACTTTAATAGTTCATACTGCATGTTATTGTTATGTCATCTGCATTATACTAGTATACTCAATTCACATGCATACGTAATTCATGAGAACACAAATGCAAAATATATAAGAAATTTATTCTAAATGCTAAAGAAATACAACACTTTTGTTACTAAATTTACAAGAACTTTGTATGAACACAAAATTGATGGATTTCATAAAAGAAAAAATAATGTTTTTGTAGCGTTCATAATATAGTTCAGGCATTCGAGAACTAATGGTCTGATCTCTGGCGTCTCCTTATACGTGCCGGAATTCAGGACATTCGAATAGAAGAACACCAATATGATTCTATTAAAATTTGAGATTGAGGAGGAGATGGAGATGGAGAAGAGATAGAAATGGTGAAGCTTTGATCCTAAAGATATGGCTGAATGAACGTGCAAGAGAGAAATAATTGAACGTAATCAGACATGATTTTATTTCTAAAAATAAAATATACCTAAAAGACTAATAAGCCCTTAATTGTCTAATATAATCAAGATGAAAGCTACGGTTCTATCAACTAAAATAGAGGGCTGAGATCTATTTGCATTTTGTAAATTAAGAAGACTTTGTATATGATCCCAATTCTATATATATATATATATATATAGGGAGCGGTTCCGGTAAGAACGGACTCGCAGGAGAGAAATAAGAACGAATCTGGACCGTTGGATTGTATTTTGTGGAACGGAAATGTGCATTTGATGAAACTGAAATGTGTATTACATGATACTCAAATGTGCAGAATAAAAATTTAAACTCAATTGTGTATTAGGTGAAACTGAAATGTGCGGAATAAAATGTACAAAAATAAAATCACATCGTACCTTTTATTCTGCACATTTCAGTTTTACCTAGTGCACATTTCAATTTCACCTAATGCACAATTCAACTTCACTTAATGACATTGTATCATACGCTTTGTGTTGCACATTTCAATTTCACCTAATGCACATTACAGTTTCATCTAATGCACATTGAATTTCACTTAAAACAAATCTAACGGTCCAGATTCATTCTCATTTCTCTCCTAAGATCGTGTTCTTATTTGAACCAAAACCTATATATATATATATATATATATATATATATATATATATATATATATATATGTACATACATATATATATATATATATGTATATATATATATATAATTATATACATGTAGTTAACTAGTTCCTACATTGTTGTATTTAACTAGTTCTTACTTCTTACATTTTTGTTAATTACTTCCTACTTTTTGTATAATTAAGTAATAATTGTTATACATTAATACACACACACACACACATAGAGT